CCCAACCAACTCAAAGCTTCTATTTCCCTATTTGACAGGGCCAAATAGCTGGCAGCTCCCGGCGGCCTGAACTGCCGTGACGACGCGTGTTGTGGCCGGCCTGGACAAAGAGGCATATTGACTCCACACAGCGTTCCTGGCACACCGCCTCATTAAGGAGGACAGGGCCCACAGATCTTAAACAAACATCAACAGCACAAAAATAGGAGAGGAGTCCCACCAGATTCTGAGGAGTCTTTGTATCAAGAACTCCAAATCACACCGGCCGTCTAGCGGTTCTTTCCCCATTAATTGTAAATAATTCAGCAATTCGCACAACTTCTTCAAACAGTCCATTGGCGTGGGAATTCGTTGGGGTTTTTACATCCCCCCTCCTCCCCCAAACCGGCCACTAACATGTGCATACATTCTTCCACAAAGTCTGCCGTCAGTCTTCCTCTGTTTTACCAGAGCACTTAAAAAATTCTCTCTGCATGCTTTCCCCTTGGCGTCCTTCTCAGAGTTTTGCTATTTCTCAGAAATTGTATTCACCATTATTGACAGACCCCTCCCAATACCCCCAAACACATCCCCGTCCTCAAAAGCTCATCTCTTCCTGAGAAAGTGCAGGTTAAAGTACTTAGAACAAAGAGATGAAACAACGTGTATTAAGTCTGTACACCCCATCTCCAGGATACTAGTCCTGGCGTAACCGCGCAGAAGCCAAGGCCACACGACTCATGCCAAATCACGACTCACACACGCGCACGTATTGTGGAAGCAAGCACGTCAGGAACGACACGCTGGAGTACAGAACTGTAACTTTGTAGCCCCGCCACTTTCTTCTCCCTCCGTCTGAACCACTGACAAAGTCGACAAAACACATCATAACCCGCCCTTAACATAATCTATATCAACAGTAATTCTCGAGAAGACATACATTACAATTTAAAACTGCAGAGCTATCACCATGAAAACGTGCGAACGATCGGAGTGTCGAACGTTTGGCACAACAACACAAATCCGGACACCGACAATACAACACCTTTAATGACACTTCCGGTTGAAGAAAATACAACAATCCAAAGTAAGCCCAGCAGCCGAAAGGACACAAGAAAAAAAAACTACAACAAAAACAACAACACAAAACAAACAATCATCCTTGCCGCTACAAAGTCAATAACAGCGTAAGAAAATCCACGAAAAGCGATGGCATTATAAAAGAAAAACAACAACTTTAAAACACTGAAGTGCACCTGGCTTAGTGTGAGTTTAAATAATTCTCCAAAAACTCAGTATTACAGTTGAAAAGAGAAAAAGGGAGAATCTTTAAGAAATAAACAAGAAAATAAAACCCCAGAACACAGACTCTTCAAAAAGAGAGACACAAACCGGTCAGCCAGCTGCACACAGTGAGCACTTCCCGCGACTCACTCCAAACTGCAACTAATCACACACACACACACACAGGGGATGTACTGCCAGTACCACACGATATGACATACCCAGCCTCATGGCACCCCTAAACCTCGTGCTGGTACCGTGCAAGATAACAACTACTCATCCTGGACTCTGATGCTAACTCTTCACAACCCCAGCCAGTGTCGGTGGTATCGCATTAGGCTACATACAGCCCGATTCTGGCGCTAACAGTACATCACACAAGCCCAACTCTGGCACCTCACGGGAGGCAAACGACCCGAGACTCACTCACAGTCGAACGGGGTACATCACAGGGGCAGGCGGAAGCGCCAACATTTTCTGCCCACTCAAAATTTCAAAAAGCAGCGCGCTGGCCTTATCCATAGCTTATCTCCCCCGGCTCCCGCCCCGTCCAGGCTACACTAGCAACGCCATGCTCATCATCATCTCCCCTCCACCAGCCCGTCTCCGTCAGGAACTCCCCCCCCCCCAAACCTTCCCATCAGCCCTACTCTTTCTGTCCTAAAATACCCCCTCACCATATTTTTACTTCTTCGTTTTAATACGAAATGAGAAAATGAGATAAGTGCCCAGAGGACAGCACAGGGCGAAAATAGCGGTGCAAAAGCGGTGAGCGCCCCCAAATCCCTCCCCCTTCCACTACACACTCACAAACTTACAACTTACAAACTTATACATGTACTCACATGCGTGCGCACACACATACACATGATCATACATTCATACGCAAATGTAATGCCCATACACATACACTCATTCATACACTTACTATAAGTTATACAGACATACACTAATACAAAAGCGTGCACACATACAGTGCCATTTATACACACACAAACATAAAACATAAACACACACACACACACACACACACACACA